GAACGGACTGGACCTACTAAGAACCGTTTGGGATCTATTTACAAACTTCATCGAACGTACTCGAACGGGTAGGTCCTCTAGACAATGCTCAAAATGTTCTCGTGGGCGTCACGTTCTACAATTAGAACGAGTGACAACATACTAACGACGAGCTGGACGTACTACGAACGGAACAGTCGTACTTCAATCCTACTAGGGACGTTTTAACAACGAGTTGAACTGTCTGAGGACATGTTGAGAACGAGGTAGAACTAATTGCAAACGGGTTTAAACTGATTAAGAACGTATTTAACACTGCTTATGAACGAGTTAGCAAAAATATAGCTATCACAGCAAACAAGTTGCCACTGCGTTCTTCAAAACTGGTTTTAAACTTTGTGCGAACGGAATGAACCTAGCTGCAACTTTCTAAGGTATATTTACGAACTTTATGAACGTTCTCAGACTGAAATGTGATTTTAGAATTTTGAATCGATTCAAAATTCGATGGCGACCATACCGTTCTGTAAACAGGTCATGTTGACCTTCTAGACTAAGGGACGCGTTCAACGACGTTCCACACCGACGTGGTGCGACCTGAACGAACTGCGAACGAGATGGACGTATTGAAGACTGTTTAAGAACGAAGAAGCTAATTATTTCAGACATATTTCCCGACCACAGCCAGATTGAGCCCGTTTTACGACGTTTTCGTAGGACTGGCAAGAACGGGTAAGAACTAGTTTGGTGTGATAGGGGGGTAATATTGTTGCTATTTGTTTAGAATCAGGGAGCGAGTCCGAACAAGTGAGTGATGCTAAAACATTTATGAGATCTATCATTAATTCATCATTTGAATACCCGGATTCTCCCAACGATATAATAGTTTACTCTTCCAAAGACTTTGAAAATAAGTGCCCAAAAACCATCCTTTTAACTGAAAATCTCTTCAACTCAAATGTGCTAGGAAATATAATTCACAGTGTAACTGAGATTGGAAACTGATTTGCCCTTACTTTATCGGATAATTCAAGATTAGATTTGTCAATATTACTTCTCTTTTTGTGCTTGATAATCAATTTTACTCTCATTAAACGCGTATTTGACGTTGAAGCCCCAATGGACATTCTTCAATGGTGCGAGTTTGAAGTAATACTGTCTGTTAAGAAATCCTTCTGAAACCACAGACACGTAAGTACATGAGATACTGTAAAATGATATGATGAAGAGATGAGACACTTGAATAAATTAAGAAGTTGAGTCCCTTCAATTGGAAGTTTAGAAACGTTTTAAAATTACTTATTTGCTAACTACTCATTTCATGACACTAATTAATAAAAAAAATTCAACAAACTTTCCAATTTTGAAGGAAATCCATCCACAGACATTTGAGTTATTTTCAGACTGGCAGACAGACAGATTGACTGACGGAGGGCTTTATTGTATCCCTATCAAACTTCTATCTTGAGGGTGATGAGGATGGGGATGAGTCATCTTACGAGGGAGCAGGACAAACTTAATATACAAGTTGAATGGCTTTGATAGTAAAAACACTTTTGAATCAATGGGGAATTGTGCAATTTTAATGATTTGTTGAGCTACTCTTATCGGGGAGTTGGACTATTTTGATGAATTGTTTTATTCCTCAATCGACCAACTGGATCAGCTGAATTTAACATGCTGTTGTAAGCTGGAAAATTTCTAAAAGCAGAGTTAATGAATTAAACAATTAGTGCTGACATTTCATCAACCTCGAGAGACCCCTATGACCAACAAGCCGTTCATACACGTACTCGAAGTCGAAATTATCGGGTAGATATAATGTATTTTCCTCGGGATATACATTGTATCCAAAACCGAGCATTAAATAGCTGATTTATCCTATACTGAGTTGATTATGAAGATTAATTATGCGTTGAATCCTGCTTCGAATGTAACCCTAGAGTAATAATTAAGCATAATCAAATCATGACTATTTTAACTCAATTCAAAACTCTTAACATAAAAATACTAAACTTACAGTTCAGTATTTAATATCTTTAATATTTTGGATTTATTATCTATCCAAAAGATTTACCACGTGAAGCGCAGCGAATGAGTGAAGATATTGATGTCTATGAGTGATATATCTGATATTTTTGAAAAAATGGATTGTCCGATTATCACATAGGAAATCAAAATATTGATTTTTGAAAAATATCGAAATCACTGGATATCACTTTTGAAACCATCGAATATCACTTTTGAAGAGATTTCTTGCTATAATATAATATCTTGGTTCACATATCAAATATGTGTTAACGTGATATTCGATCTATATCCTTGTTATCGTTGCATTTAAAGATGATAGAATCTGTGTCGAAGGGACTGAGCGGATTTGAATAATGATAAGATGGCGATTGACATTTTTTAAAAATAGATTTGAATTTCCTCAACTTACATATTGGCATGCTAAATGGACTCATGGAGGCTGCAACTAACTCACGTACGCTTGAATGGACTCGTGTAGTTTGAAATTAAAATGGGCAATATTCATCGGGCACCCTGTTAGATACAAATGGTTGACTTACATATCAATTAAGATCGTGGTCATAAACCAGAGGCACATAGGTTGGAAATAGGTATCGACTGGCCCACCCGTATGCCTTTTATCAAAAATTTGCGTATTATCGAAAACAAGGATTTGCGTTGTGTCAACGCGACCTCACTTGGAAGGATATGCCACTTCTTTTATATTTGATAGTTTCCGTAATCACTCTTCTCGAGGATAAGGAGATCGTATAGGAGAATTTATTGAAATTCGGTTCGAACAGCGCTTAGTAAAAATTTATTACAGCGTTGTCTCAGAAAGAGCATTAAAAACTGAGACACAAAAATAACAAAGGTATCTTGAAATCAAGCTTTTTGTTGGAGTTTACTTTCATGAAATGTGATCATTTATTCCATGATGGTGAAATTCCCTGCAATCTGATTGGTGCATGTGACTTAAATATATCCTGTATTTACACGCACATTCCACTAAGCGTTGGATACAGAGTGAAAAAGACGTCAGCGTTGGGATACGGTAAGAGGAGGGAAAGCCCCAGAGTTTAAAGATGACAGACATAATTACCTCTCTTGCTTACCACCTTTGTTCGTTCGAATTTTAATCGGCTAGTAATCAAAAACTACACTTCGATGGGATGTTTTAATTGATATAGGCATATTCTGTACACTTTTCTTTATCTTGATGTGAAATGAGAAGCTATGATATTGATTAACACGCCAGAAATGAACATAATATTATTCGAAGCGTATTTTGAAAATTTTGAAACCGCCATTGATGACGTCATTTGTTTGTCGACTTTTGACCAATCAGCTACGATGTCATCTCAATACAGATTTACATTATAAGCGTATGTCATCTTTGAACCCTGGTGTTTCTCCCCCTCTGGGATACGGTCTAGTATCCCAACGCCCCAGATTTCCATCCAGGATATGACTATTACTGAAAAAATCAATGGTGATCAGTTTACACCAACGCATGCTAATATTTGCATTTTGCTAGAAATATCTGATTTGAATATCAGGAAATGATACGGTGATCATCACAATTTATAATTTTAGGATAAAAAACACACATCTGTGAATATAAAAAGATCAATATGAAGCATGCATATTGTTTTCATGAACTAGTAAAAATCTTTAAATCCAATATGGCAGACGAAAGTCGAAAAAACTTTCGCTACACTGCACTTCCAGCTGATGAAATTGAAGAAAAAAGAAAGAAAATCAAATGTCTCGTATAATACAATAAAAAGCAAACAACAAGGCCATAAAGATTTTGAAGGAATGTCGATGTAAAATATCTCTGAGGTGAGAAGGTTGATCTGTTTCTCCGGCCCAAAGCCAAGGGACTTGATTTAGGCAAGTTTTATATGGGTAATCATGGAATAAAAACGTTATTCAATGATTTCTCGTGAAATACAGAAAATATTCTTCCCTTGAACGTCTGTATTTCACTCTGCTAGCGCATCGTGAAATACAACCTTCTCGGGAAGAATATTTTCTGTATTTCACTCGAATTATTGAATAACTTATAGTATTCATCCGGATTTAGTTTAATTCTTTGGCGTTTAGTATACGGTTGACAGACTCATAAAATGTTAATATATAATAGACAACAACTTGTATTCTATATATTAACATTTTACGAGGTTAGATCTAGTCACAATACACTTGTATTATTTTATTGATAGTTGATTTTCAATAAATAGGAAATGAAATGTAGAAATTATTAATCGTCATTTTATGTGCATGTAATTAATTCAAACACAAGGATGATTTTTTCGTACAATGAAAATGTTGTTTTCATTATATTTGCTTCCAAAAACGTGGGCGTAACCAGGCACGCACAAGTGCCTCTCCAAAATTTACAGAGAAATTCAAGTGCATACATTTCTTTCAATAAATAAGTCGAATTGATAGTTGCCTCAAATCAACTTTTGTCTCACCTATTCAAATTTGCCTCGTCCAATATTAGATCCTGCCTACGCTCCTGAATAAACTAACACTAGCTAGGTATTTATGATATGGACAATTCCTCTGCAATAAGGGCGTCTATTCTATATTGAGTTTTCATAATTGAGACGAAGACGAAATAAATGACAGGAATATATCCATGTTACCAAAACATAAAACATGTCATGTTATAAGCAATTTCATCCTACACATATGCAATGGTGTGCCATCTTTTCATAGTTTTTCATTGTAATTACGTGCAAAGCTCTCTAATCAAACTCTCACCTGGATTAAGGTATGTAGGTCATGGTATTATGACTTCCTGGTGAAAAATTTAAGGGGACATACTTGACAAAAAATCCTATTCACCTGGTCGCCCTCCTATTGAAATGATATTCTCCTGGGCTTCGATCACTTGGACATCGTTAAAACTGCCCAAATGGCCTTGAAAACTAAGTTCAAATTCAAATTTGCTTGTATAATTATTGTTATATATAGATATGTGCACGTGAGTACTACTATCAATTTACTCTCGACGAATGGATTACCGGGTTTAGGTATCCCATCTCCATCTGTTGGTTGGCGGCCAGCGTGGGATTTGTTCTTGACTTGAAAGCGTCTGCTTGGTTGGAACGGTGTATTCTGCGTAGATCGTGTTGACTTGTATCTTTCCCACTGGCCCTGGTATCAGGTGCATAACGGACTTGCTTGGCTTGGGATGGATTATTTCTATGGAACCTATCATCAAGTTTGTAATTCGCTGAATTATCGAGCATCAGATCATTTCCATTGCTCGTTGGACCAGCTTGATAGTCTTGTATGTGGTCATCTCTTTTACGCGTAGAATCAATAGGATTAAAACCTTGATTAGCTAGCATTTGATCATTCATGTAGGACCTTGCATCAACTGGGTAACTAGCCGAATCGCTTGGTGTTGGATTATCGAACCCACGCTGTCTATTTACGTTTGTTGATCTCTTGGAGCGTTTGCCATTTTTTGCCTCCGTTTTTAGTCTCAAATAGTCCACCAAGTAACCATCTGTACCACCTCTTTCTGTAGTTCCCGAAGATATTGAAACATTGTCGGGAATGCCAGCTGCCGTAAGCAATCTTTCTATAGAAGATACTATGGCTGAGAATGATGGTCGACGTTGCGGGTCTTCCTGCCAACATCCAGATATCAATACCCACCTACAAGTGCATGTACGTAGAAAAGTCATCAAAGTTCTAAAGCTTAAATACAGGGTGGTCCAAAATCATTTACACTTTTAATTGTGTAGCATTGTCTAACCATGGGAAGATTTCCCAATATTTTCAAAGACGTGCATTTTGTGTGATGTACGTTTTATTATCATATACCACCATAATGGTGATTGTTTGCATAGTATCCCCACCAAAAAACTTCATAGGGGATATTTCTCGAGAATGTGCAAGTCAGGTAGGATCCGGACAATCATATGGGAGATAAGTCTGTCTTCGGGGAAGTAATGATGGATGTATTCAAGTTAAGTATTTGAGCAGTGCAATTTTACAACATCTTGTTGACAAATAACAGTTACGGTATCCATGTCAACCCCTCGTTTCCGCCCCAGTGCCCGGGTGAATTGTATTCCCATAACTTCAATGTATCAGTCCATCGTTCACAAGAAATGAACGTCCATTAGCATCTTCTAATTAAACCAGACCAGCACAGTGTCGTAATTATGAGCTAACTTTCAGCAGTCACCTTATATACACCACATGTTTGATGCTGATGCTAAGAAGACAGAACCTGAGCCAAAAAGTGCCTTTTCTGTGTGTTGAAGGTCATTACAAACTTAAATGTGCAATTAACTTGATGATAAGTGATTCAGCGCAGAGCTTGGATTGACCACATTAGAATTTATTGGCCTGTGCTCTCATTTCGGTGGTATATCAAAATAAAATTTACCCCACACAAAACATATATGCCCATAGGATAGGCCTATGAAAAAATTGGGAAATTGCCAGGAAAGAAAATGCTACGTTGTCAAAATTGTAATTTTTTTTTGGACCACTCTGTATATTTCCGTCTTTACTAGCAACTGGGAAACCGAGTTTTATGAGAATTATGCCATTCAAACAGCTTATTTTGTAAACAACAATTATCTCTATTAGATATGATCAGAAGATATGGAATGTTTTCTGCTTCATTATTCGTATCTTACTATATGTATTCGTAAATTGAACTTCTGTACTCGTTAAATGCACATTTATGTTCGTAACTTGAGTATTTTCATTCATTGTTTGCCTTTTCTGTTCGTTAATCTATTTTGTTTTGTTAAAACGTTTATGTATGTGTTTTATACTGAAATACATTCAAAACGTATTTGTTAGTGACACATTGTTTATCCGTATACAGATAAAATGGGTTCATTTTGTACCTGTATCATTGTTTCTGCAATATATTAATTTGATATCTACGAACTAAATGTCGAATTTATCAATGAATCAGTACTAGCCTTGGCATTTTTATTTTTTAATTGTCGAATTTATTTTCGTAACAAGGTAATATATTTTCGTAAAAGTGCACATTTATTGTTCGTAAATATTGTCATTTGTATTCGTAAATTGCACTTTTATATTCGTTTTTCATTGGTTTATTAAGATCACGTGATCATTCTCAACGAGACACGGTTAACCCATGGTCAAAGTCATCACCTCCTCCCCCACACATGTCATGTCACGTGACATTTGCCTCGAGACTTGCAGTTTATATTCGTTCATTCACATTTGTATTCGTAAACTCACATTTATATTCGTAAAGTTTCATTTTATCATTCGCTAATGTACGAATATTCCTTTGCTTTCTGCAACAATTCATGGGTAATATGCACGATTATTATTGGTAAAAATACATCTCCTCGATAAAATAACAGGCAATTTTGGGGGAAATTACGAATTGTAATCTGTAGTTGGCGAATAATAAATTGTTAGTTACAAATATTTCTAGTCCTTACAAACATGAAATGCACCCGAATTTAGTATCTGTTTGTTTATTTGATACATCATATTTGTATTTGTAATTTGGGAATTTTATTTGTAAATGTTACATTAATATTCGTATAACGGAATTTATTCAAAACGAATAATGAAGCAGTTATAGACGCTATATTTAGTATCTGTTTGTTTATTTGATACATCATATTTGTATTTGTAATTTGGGAATTTTATTTGTAAATGTTACATTAATATTCGTATAACGGAATTTATTCCAAACGAATAATGAAGCAGTTATGACGCTATATATAAGAAGATAGAAGAACTCATTCTCTTTCCAGAGAAAGAACTAAAGTCCCTAGTTCTCAGGTTGATATATAAATTTATAAATTCAAATATCATTATAAATGTGATGGCTTACAACTCGTCGGGGCTGTATGCGGGCCTGTCAAGTCTACCTCCAGAGAGCAGGAAGTTCTTCAGTTCTCCATTACCAATGTAGGAGTATGGGGTACAACCACGTGTCAAGATCTCCCAGAATACAACGCCAAATGACCACTGCAATCACACAATAAGTTGAGACAATCATTCATGTTTCAGGTTGGAGGTAATTGGTGTTGAGTATAAAAGCTTCGTTATTTTTATCCAATAGGCCAGTGTAAAAGAAATTATGGCCCCCAGGGATTATGGTCCCCCTTCTTAACAGCCCTTATTGGCCCTGATTGTGTATAAAATAATAAGGGAAAGAGGTCATCATATAAATCAATGGAGAGTAGGACCATAATTTGAAAGGACCTCCTACCCTTTTACACATGCCTGCGTATGGTTGCTCAACATTCGTTTGATATTGCATTGTGTGTATTTGAAAGATGCCTCCATTGGAACTCTCTTGTAGATTGTGAATTTTGGAGATACCTTATTTTTGTAACGTATATTTTCTTCTCCTGATGTTTGATGTAATCTCTCCGTCATTTCAAGAGCGGAGTCATTAAATCAACCAAATGGAAGAATATTTTTCTAGCTTGATTTACAATCAAGTATGACCTACCACATCACTTTTGATGGTATATTTACTCTCAATTATTGATTCTATAGCGAGCCATCTGAACGGTTGTGGCTTGCTTCCGTCTTCTGGACGATAATAGTCGTCAGTGTATAGATCGTGTGCAAGTCCAAAATCTGCTATCTTGACTATCCAATTTTGATCAACCCTGTAATAACATATTCATATCAACACTTTGTTTTGATCCTCTACAAAATTGCATTCTCACTGCGAAATATATATAATTGAAGGTCTGTACAATAATATACTATCGAAACAAACACATACAATTCACCAGAAACTGCTGGAGTATTGGGGGTTCTTGTATATTTAATAATTGATTAGGGCATTTCATTGCTTCGTTTCAAAATTGTAAATCCACCATATATTTATTGGATAAAAATGCAAGTGATATTGCAATTATGAGGTTGATCCAAAAGTGCTTTCAAAATGTTATACTTTGCTATATGAAAGCTAAACAAATATGGCTATTCTAGTATGTGCAAGAAAAAAGCTGTTGTTCAGAAACTTATTATCTAATGCTTAACATATTATCCTTTGTAATTCGGTTGGATAAAAATAAGAAGGTAATGGTATAAACTAGGATGGTCCTTCGTACGGGTGTTATGTCAAGAATACGTCACATACATGCAATTTTTAGCTGATAGGTCCCCATGCTGGAATCGTTTCAGCTCAAGATATGCCATCCCTCTAGCAACTTGCAACCCAAAACCTATCAGCGCCCCAACAGTGAACCGCTGAAATAAATTTTGCTTTTCATAATATGATGCTTTTTGTTTATTTATTTATTTTTATTTAATTTTCAATTTTTTGTTTGTAAAATATATAATCAGTTAATTGTCGCTTACCTTAATTCGACCATACCTGATTTACGATTCTATGTCATGATAGGACGTCGTGAGAACTAGTTGTTACTGGGGAAGGATAACTTTATGACTTTTCATGAAATTGAAATTTCAAACCTGTTCTGGAGAACTTATAAACTTCTTGAGGTCACCATTGGACATAATAGGCAGCACAATCATTGCATGCCCATCGTCCTTCACGACAATACCGAGCAAGGAGAGCACATTGACGTGGTCAAACTCCCTCATAATGATGGCCTCCTTGATGAAGTTTCGTATGCTCTCTGTGGAGTCAGCGCCGCGCTCTTACAACATAAGGTAAGAAGGCATTAATGTTTGGTTGCATTTAATACCATATTGTTAATTTAAATATATGTTAATTATATTAAGATTAGTTTATGGGGTAGAATTACAAAAAGCAAGATACTTTTTGAAACCTATTAATCGTATAATACAAGTATGTTTGATTTAACTATGTTAACAACTTATTTCTTCATATTAGCAGAAGAGAATATTTCATGGCGTAATTAATTTACCCTTTATTGTTTTTACTGCAACATCTTCTCGTTTTTGTCTCCTGTCATCATACAACATTCCCCTAAACACTCGTCCAAAATAACCTATAAATATGGCATTAACTACAGATTTACAAAACAAGATTTTGTTGTTCTATTCATTTGCATGATTTAATCAGATCGTAAATATATTATGAGCGTATACTGTTTAATTGGCAAGAATACCATTTTTATTGCTACACCGTTTGTCTGTGATATCTTAGGGTTGACAAGAGGTTACCTCCCATGCTGACATTTACATAACATACCTTCTCCTAAACTAATGGAAAAAACGTCAAGTCTCTTTTCGTCAATTTGCGCAAGCTTCACTTCCTCTGAAAGTTGCTCCCCTAGTATGTTCCATATTGTAACTGAAATGGCACCTTGGGAACCGTTTGAGTCCGTATATAAAGCTTTCCGTTTCTGATTTACTTTATATCGACAAGCGAGACCAACGAGTAACAATATCAGAAGAACAATTAAACCAACTGAGGATCCTACAGAAATTGCAACAATCGTAGTTGGATTTGTTTTATCAGTCGTGCCAACGTCAACCATATATCGAAGAAATCCAACGAATGATGAGTTCGTTTCGGTGTTAAAGAACCGTACAGGTGCTTCAACCTATGATTAAAGCAAACATTCTTATTCATGTGAATCGGTTTATCACAGTTCAACTTATAATGTGCTTTAAATCAATACAAATTGTATTCAAATTCATATTCATATCAAATATTTATTATTGTGTCATGTTATACCATCTCGTCGAAGCAAAAATAATGTTTTGATTCCATAAATCATTTCTTGCTTTTAAATGTAATAATAGTTGACGAGGGGATTTTGCAATTTGTTTGCGACGATCATTTCAGTCAATTGATTTGATTCAATAAGTTAGTGTTTATGGAATGGAATGTCATACGATAATGATAGTATACTTCTCTCACTTTCTGCCCACTATGCATATTAGTAACTAACATCAATTTCAATGATGAGGCATTTCAATGTTCTTGATTGTTTACCTGAACTCTTACATCAGCATCTTTGGAATGTAGCTTGACGGGTGGCTCGCAAGTCAAAAAATCACCAGTGGTATCAATAATGACATTTTTACACAGGATTCCATCTCCAAGAATAACCTTGTAGTCTCCTATATTTGAAGCTGGCAACAGGTTCTTGCCCTATCGAAATTTACAAAATATTATATTCAAAAAGAGCACGATGGTAGCCACTGACTAAGGTTAATCACAAATCTGATTTAAAACTCCAATCGAGTCACTAATTTACTAAAATATAACAAGTAGCTTTAGAGTATTTCTTTCATCTGTTATCATGAATTGTCAGGTCTGTTTCCATGGCGAGGGATGAGACTTTGTTTCTATGACGAAGGCATAAATATTGTATTAGCAGATATTCGAAACTTCTTATTCGTCAGTGTGTATTAAAGCATCAAAATATGAGTTTGATACAGCGAGAACAGATGTAGCCGCTATCACCCAGTCAGGGGTGAAGTATTCTCCGATAAAACCCCGAATGATCCATTCAGTGCAAAATGGCGTCCGGGCTATATAAAAAGTAAAACCATGACCAATAGTGTTCGTATTGCTTTTAGATTTGTTTTACTGACATTTGGCCAAAGGTATTCGGAAGCGACAGATTCTGCAACCTTCTTTGACTGAGCCAAGCAGATTTTAAATATCTTACACCGTAATATCACTGCAGTAACTAGTCCAAAAACAACCACAACAAGCGCCAACGGAAAATATGGTGATGTCGTCGAATCGAAATTGCAAATCCTCGAGTGTTTTTCAAAATAATAAGAGCCACTCCCGGGAAGTTGAAATATTGGTGAAATCCAAATGATGATACTAATCATACAGACGACGAGTGTAAGAATGATACACCTCGGTATTGTCACATTTCAAAGGACGCGTGATCATGATTAATTTATCTAAAGTGGGAATTCCATGGCCAAGAGTGTATATTGAAGTAACGCAGAACACACAGAGCACCACAGCGGAGAACTGACAGACTAACCATTGAGGTCCGATGCTACCTGTAGCGTCGACATACCATGACTGAGGGTATGTCAATGATGCATCCCACCACGAAGTCTGACACTGCCATAGATACCATTAAGTATCCAGATGGCGAATGCAAATACCGTGTTCCCACTATGACGACAATGATGTAAATATTTGCAACAATAGTAGCCATAGTTGTCAATACAAATGAAAGGGGAATATCCGGCTTGATTATTATATTTTCTGACACGTTCGATGTCAGTCTGCTCTCATTATCTTCAAATACCATTATCAATCCAAAACGTTTCCAAACCTCTATAACTTCAAAGTGTCCAATCAAAATTAGAACAATTTTGTTCTCAATCTATGTACTAATTATTTCAAGAATGCCTTTGAAGTTGCAACAGAATGATAAACTAAATACTCCTTAGATGCTTCAACTAAGCTTTCGACATTTTCCGTTCATAATCTGATAATTATGTCTAAATATCTTGTAAGCGAACGTGTCCTCCTATCGATATAACATTACCCAATGCTCAACTGAATTGTTTTCGTTTTTCTGACGACTGAGTCATGAACGGCAAATACAGCATAGACAACATTTTTCTTTAAGAGATTTTACATTTTTATAATCATATTAATAATGCATTGTCAGCACCATTTGGCTTCCATAAACTAAATCGCTTTCATTGTGCATCGAAATGTAGAAGTTATAATAGCCTACCACTATTTTTTAGGTGTTCGATAACTTGCATTCACAAAGTTCAGTTCAAATTACTATCATATTGTTCGACATGTCAATCATTTTCAATACATTTCAGCACTTGGAAGCCCACTGGGTCAATGTTATATCAGACTGTATTATATTAAACCGTAAAAAATGAGGTAGTTTAATTCCATTTCCGCTCCCATATTGGGAAGTTTGGATTCATTAATTGCAGTTCATTCTTTATAAACATCAAGATATTTCACAAATATCTTCTCTATTCTTCACCGTTATCTTGTCAAACTAAGATCCATATTTGCAATGAACATCAGCTATAAGTATTAATAAATAGATGGCATATAGGCATGCAGACTTATTTTTCCTCTTCAAAATCAATTTATTTAATATATAATATCTACAAAACCAAAGTCTTACCCATATATAAATGAGCTTATTCTGTCCAGGATAAAACTCCTCAACTGAAGTGTAACGTTCTATTGTGGGGTTTTGAAATATCTCCGCTGTACCATTTTCACCTAAGGCTTCACTAGCATTGTCGTATTTTGCAAACCCGTCAAACGTAAAGCCAAAGAAGAAGTTGACATTGTCACTGTTGACACTTTTGTTTCCCGTACTGTTGTCATTGCGGATATCATCGGGGATTACAATCTTCGGCGATGGACATTCTAGGAGATCGCTATTTACGACAGTGCATAACTAAGAAAAATCATTGAAATGATATTTCAATCATTGCAAAATTTATATCTGGATTACAACAAAAACAAATCTCTGTAAATACTATTACAATATGGTTCCAATTACGACAAAACGGGAAAGTGCACACCAACTTCAAAAATCCGAGACGTCAAACGGTTGAAAAATCCAAGATGTATTCAATTCGAAAAGTCGCAATCCATCTTAACATATTGAATGGTATGGGTTTAATACAGTATGGTCACCTTACCTGTTCGAAAACTGTTTCCTCGCCTTTATAAACCATGATTATTTTCATAATGACTTGGTGTACAGAGTCAAGGTTATTTCCCCGCACCGTCACATTTGATCCCCCGCTAAAATAATATAAGATATAACATTGCCATTGAAATTATCCATTTTACCTCAATTCGTATTGCTATATCATTTTGCTCTTAGATTATGTCACCGGTTAGCAGATATCTTTAATAAAGCACTGGGTTCATTCTACATGTACAGTATATTATCATCCAAAGCAAGTTTACTAAAAAATGCAAATAAATATTTCAAAGTTAACAACAACTTGACGTACAAGATGCTTACTTTTATAAATAAAGTGATTCGATCAGTTCCATACCTTTCAAAAAGTTCACGCGGCCAAAAACCTTCTATATCCGGGTTACCTTTGTAGGTGAAATTCGTGTGATTATTTGGAAGGGTAATTCCATCTGCAAGAGTTATCACTAACTCCTGTGGAAATTCATCATTTTCTCCAATCTTCCCAGAGGAATCAAACTCTTGGCTGGTACAATGTAACTCGATTGCTGTCCTAGAATTAATTCCCATTAATATTGAATATCTTAGCACGTGAACAATAATTCATTTACAAATATTTAAGCACAAGTGCTTAGATTTCTTTAGCGAGAGCTATGGTTGTCTTTAAAACGATTGTCAACCACATTAGAATTATTATAAAAACATATCGTGCATATAAAGGATCACAATCTTAGTAAATTCCTGACATCTAGACTATAACATGGTGTACAGGTATACCGTGACAAATCTTAACAATTAAGACAACGTATCTCCAGAATGTCCAACTCACATGTTGAATACTAAGCATGCCTTGCCCCCAATGTTCACCGTCGCGTTTTCCGAACCAAAGTGCGCTCCACTTATGGTGATGTTTGTTCCACCTGCCACAGGGCCATAAAGAGGCACGATTGACGTCACATACGGCCTCTATATGAGTAAAGTGAAACTTTATAAATTTGATCTTGATATTAAGCATCATGAACGATCTTGCAATTCATAAAAGGACAAATTGAATGGAATGATTATAAATGTACGAAACTATCATCTAGTCAAATCAAATAAGCATGCAGCACATTGGTTGTCAAGCGAAGAAATTGGCGAACCAATAATTATTTTAAATATTTGGGAAAATATTTCAAATGGATACACGAACCAAAACGACTGTATTAAGATGAACATACACAATAATAGCCTGCCCTGTCCATAGCTCCTGCTTCCTCACACTCACATTGCCCTGTTGTTTTGTGACATCTACTCATTCCCCTATGTTGCACGGTTCCCTTGTTGTAGCAGTGGTTACATGGTTGACACCCATCAGCGTTGGAAAGGGACAGCTTCCAGTGCATGTCATCACATGAGTCGCACCTCATCCCCGATACGTGTCTCTTACAAAGACATTGCCTTGTGACATTGCAAATCCTACTTTGGGCAATTGTTCCTGGCGTATGACATTGGCAAGGTTTACATCCATCATCCCAATAATAACCATCGTCGCATTTCGTGCATTTTGCACCATGTGCATTAGCAAGGCATGGGCAATAACCAGTAGAAGCATCGCACTCATATACTCCTGATCCACTATTGACAGAGCCATGGGGATCACAATTACAAGCTTCACATCCATTTGGGTTGTCATTGGTGAAGTTGAAATACCCTGGCTTGCAGGAATCACAGTTTACTCCTTGTAAATTACTAGGACAGGAGCAACCTTTATTTTTGCATTGGTCGCAGAGTAAACCTTCAAAGTTAGCCTTACATGGGCATTGGCCAGTTACCTGAAATTATTCATTTGAAAGGCAATCATGTTAATATTGTGGATGTAAAATAGAGATTGATTGGAATGATCAGGAGTCAAAAAAACGCAAACGAACATAAGACTATGTAGTACAGTCCGTCCAAATACATTTATCTTCACAAATTACTTTTTCGTTATTCTTCAACGATTCAATATGTAATTATGATCGGTATCAGGTGTTGTATTTCATTAAGACACTTACCCTGTCGCATGTTTCTGTTTTCACTACACCAGCAACGTTACAGCTTGGACACGGAATACACGAATTATTTTTCATGTAAAAGCCAAACTTACACTTTTCGCACTGCAGTCCCGTTCTGTTTGAAATAGATGTACACGAACAAACGTATGGTGTTTGCGTCGTATTGCAGGTGTCGCCATAACCGTTGCAGAAACACCTTCAATACAAATAATTCTCCTTTGAACGAAAAGAGGGCAAGCATGCTAAAGAAAGCCTAGTGGCAAATTGGAACCGCGCTTCGTACCATACGTATCATGGAAAATAATGTCCATTTATATTTTTCAAATACGTTTGGTATATTCGAATACAATAAGTTTTCGTTTTCATGAACGTTTTTTGTGTGAAACCTGGAACAGGAGGCGGGTTTTATAGTAGGTATGTACATTAATAAGGAACACAAATTACCTGGCTATAACTTTGAACTCCAGAATGCCAACAATTTGTTTGATCTCAGCAGTAATGTTCAGGAATTCACTAGCAAGTGCCATATGTACTCGTATTTCTCCAGCTCTTATGAACGTGGCCAATGATTCAGTTAACTTCGATGTATCATTACCAGCTCGTTCTTGGTCTATCAGTTCAAACCTTATCGAACGACTATAGCTTGTTTTACTGAAATGAATTAATTTTTATTATGACGGGAGTTTAATAGATTAATCTTGTCACAACCAACTGAAAACCAATTAAGTTTTGTTTTTGAAATAATTATACAGGGTGTTCAAAAAGACAACCCAAAGAAATCGCTTTTACTTAGAAAATACTAAACCAATTGTGTTCATTTTTTCAGAAAGAAAGGGTGACCAAGGCATTGTGTTTTTCTAATCATAGGAGATATACATTTAGGGTCTCTTATTTCTCTACTGAAAAGATTAACACAATTGCACTAAAGTATTTTCCAAGATATAGCGATTTTTTTCGGTTGCGTTTTGAACACCCTGTGTATATGTTTGTGGCAAAAAACTGTAAAATAGTTGGATGGGTAGTATTATAGTTTATCTGTACTATCTTTGTTAACCAAAAACCCTTGCTATTACAATTAGATTCGAGAATATATAGACAAAATCAATGAAGCTATCAAAAACACATTTCACCTGAGATCTTTACAAATAACATCTGTATCAGTTTGAAGTGGTTGATCAGGCTTAATGTTGAAGTCCTGTAGGCACGATTTAGAGTAGTACTGCCAGGTTTGCCAAGGTCCTATGCCAGGTGTAGTTCGCTTTTCTACCACAAGGCTCCGTAAAGGAAGTAGGTCCATGAAAAGGCCGGAGTATGTCGATAGCTCAATGTGCTGTACCTAAAGATGTAAAAGCTCATATTTGACATTTGAAAACCGGTTGCATTTGTTGTAAAGACATGTGTAAATGCTTATTGAGCTTTGTTAATTAGGATTGTATTATTTTTCTCGTAGGTTCAAGTTTCATACTCTAGGCGACGGGAAGTCAATGCAAGACCATTTGTACATGTATATCAAAGTTCCTGAAACGTTTAGGCATTCGAAGGTGATAACGTCTAGCTGTCCCACTCCAGGACGATATTTTGACAGAAGTTAGACGTAAAATTATTATTATACACGCTTACTAACCTCAACTGATTGTTCGAGATCAATGCCTATGTCAATCGAATTGTTCTGAAAAGTCACATAAATTTGTGAGATCCACGTGGCATAAGATACGGTATCCCTTCTGACGTAGCTTCCTCTTTGGATGATGAAGTTATTAGTTCGACAATACTGAGAGCCGCTTGCATCCCACTCTTCTGGGAAAGCCTCGGGACATCTGCACATTGTCGTATTTGAAGGTCTCCACTTATTATTTGCAAACGTTGCAATATCCCTTTTAAAATATTTTAATGAATCAGATTGTTCTGCATAAATTCAAATAAATAAATGTACATTACGCTGTTTGAGAAATAAGACCGATTGAAATAATGAATAATAAAAAACAAGCGCGAAACATTTTATTATGTTGTTATTTTCAAACTATAACATTTTATTATTCAACAAAAATTTAAATATAGACTTAGTGTATTATTATAATTATAAATAGGATAATTTCAATTTTTTCTAATTTCATATCGTCAATTATATTAATAGTTATACTTGTTAGTGGGGGTCTTCCCATATATTCTCAGCTGCTGTATTCCACCATGGAATACCTCGTCACCTGTAATCATTCAGTTTGGATTTGAATATTTTTTAGCACACAGAATATATATTGTAAATAAAAATGTCTGCGAATAAAAGAGGAGGAGCAATGCTTCCATGAAAGACTCATTTATGGCATCGTGAGATATCACAGCCTTATCTCAGTTTCCTTCTAGAACATTCTTGTGCATTGCAGAGATTGTATTAGTATGGGAGGATAGAGCAGGTTCCCGATCCTCCATATTACAATCACGAGGAGGTAGTTTGTGGTATGTTGTAAAGTATGGCAACCGAATCGGCTACAATATATCGGACTTCAATAGCATGTCTTAAGTCTTACCTGCTTCACTTTTCCCCACACTGAAGTGATGTAGTGTGACATTGCCATATGTTGCCTTATTGTCATATATGACATGAATCCCATTGAGGAACAAACTGACGTGATTCCTGTAGACCTAAAGTATCATATCAATCATTAATTACATGATTAAAAAATAGCCCATTTCATCGCGCATCAAAGACAAATTGTTTGATTTAAATGTTTTTTTAAAAATATTTTTAGGTTTACTTTGTATCACATTGTATAGATGTCTAACCAGACAAGTACAATACGAATTAACAACTGACAGCCATTGGAGTTTCATAGTATAAAGTGTCATAGCAATGTGTACAGAGTATTTCATATATATGCCCCCCCCCCCACGTAAACTCGATCAAGAAAATTTTGTGTTCATCTGAACGTAACCTGACAAATGGTATAGAAAATGTTTCAACGTATGTTGTTTTTTAATTGAAACCAAAAATCTCTTTCCCCCTTAATATTTTTACCTCATTTGATTTCCTTTGAACTTTTAATACACTTCTCTCTCGTTAAAGTTTTAAATGACCTGTAGTGCACTTTAGTTTTTACTATACCTCTTCAAGGTACATTTCATGATCAGAAATTCTTTCTACATGAATTTCTTCTAAATGAACCAGTACCTGCATACGGTCAGTGATACATTGTATCTTTTATCACGGACATCCCGAGATTCTGATACTTTCCAAAAGTAACAAAATTGCATATACTTTAGCATGAAAGGGTGGCAACGTTACATGTATGAGTTTAGGTGGGAATGCATACATATGAAACACCCTGTATATTGTTAGAGTTTTCTTGACAAAAGGAGGAAATTCTGCTGAAATGCACACCTGGATTGCTACGAAGGTCCACTCATCTTTCACCAATGAGTTTGAGACAGGAATCGAACGCCCAAGGTGCACCAAATACAAGGCCCCTGATTTGTTGATTCCTAGGTGTAATACCTCGCTGGAGACTGATCCTTCAACTGTGCCGCTCAATGTCACTAACGTTCTAGAATTGATAGGTATGCGAATTTAACTTCCTCGTCACACCTATTTGTTTAATGTTGAAACGAACTATGGTTACATTCAATAACAGCAAAAAATGAGAGTAAAATGTAATACGTTAGAGTAAATATTTTGTCAACCTACGATAATCCTAACAGTGAATTTCCACATAAAATGACTTTTGAGTATTCATCGCAATCGAATGTGTATTCATAGCTACATATTCTTGTAATGATTGTTTTGGGTTTTGAACTAACGAGCACGTTTTTTACTCCAGATTTAACATTTTTCATTCAATCTATTTTATAATTCCGAATTTTGAACTTACGATTTTAAAACTCTAAACATATGCATATTAGGTTTTGTAAATATGATTTATAACTGAATTAAACAAATTATCACACCAGGACCTCGCTTTGATTAAACAATGAACATGTATATGATATATTTTTTTCGATATTAGATATATGTTTTCCATAGAAAATTATGTTAGTTGGTTACACTTATAGATGAAGATATTATCCTTACCTGTAATCTGTACCAGAAAATGTGTAATCAACAGGTTTGATATAAACTGTCAGACCATACGCTAGGTCTTCAATCTCATTGTATAATTCTGGAAATGTATCGTTTTTGATCTGACAAAACTTGTCTTCAACTAGCGTGATGCAAGGTGATGAATTTGGCGAACCAATTGCACATTTGTCAGACGGGACATCCTTAAAGAAGTCGGGTTGATCCCGGGCAAGTACTCCAATGATGTCATTATGCAACGGGACCTCATTATCTGTCCCGTGAGGACAATCAGCTAAGCAAATCTCACAACCGCTTGTACGTGTGCAAAACGAGGGCGTTTCCTTCTTGGATTGGTCGCCACATGTTGCGTTCAAAGGTTCGCTAGTGACTGGCTTAAATGCGGCAACATTGTGCCACTCGAAACCCCCTTGTACGCCATATCCGTGAAGAGTCAGAATCAAACTCGATGTCAGCATACGAATAAAAATCATTTTCTTAAAAATATGTTTAAAACATTACAAATTCCTGTAAAAAATAAATTCTTTCTCAACTGAACTTTAACGGAGCTATGCAAAATTATGTATGTCTAAAGTATTATCGACTGTTTGATTAAAAATATAGTGTTTGCAAAAGAAGTCACGAAACTATAAGGAAGTTTAATAAAAAATGAGGATTCTGGAGAGGGGTGGAGTTAATAATACATGTGTCAAAAGGGAATATGGTGAATACGTCATGTAGTTTTCACTCATGCTGTTTATCGACCTTCATAAATTAAAGTTGTTTAAACAAAGGTATTTTATATTCTGTAAGAGTTGGGCATTTTTATTAATTTACGAATTAATTTGTTAAGTGCCCATTTTAAGTTTGAAAATGTGTTTTTACCATTCATTTGCTATTTTTCATTACTTTAAAGTTTATTTTAGAGATTTTGAAGATTTGAGTTGTCAGCTTTGCATTTCTCGAATATTCAAATTTCCCGTCATTTTTCAAATATTTTTTTTAATCATCAAATATTCCACTGTACAGTGCAAAAACACCAATGCAAAGATTGAACAAAGGAGACACTATTTCAATAATAAAATGTGATATCTGATACGTAGTTTTCACAAACTCAATGTTTTACATGTCAAAATATTTTGCAACATACATACGTATGTAAGTGACCTCATTGTGACATCACTCAGGTGGCAAAAACCTTTTGAACATTTTTCCTCTTAACCCTTTAATGGCAAATATATTTCCAATGCAATTTTTAAGAATAATGTTTTGGAATATTTTATAGTGTTAACAATAGATCTAGAAGTATATATTTTCTCCATTTGTCTATTTAAAGCGTAGTCTTTCGGTGTCTGGGCTTTGGTGCTCTTTAAATTTTGTTTGCAAAGTAATATTATGTTTGTGACGGGATTATAAAGACGTGATGTACATAAAAGACAAAACAAAAATGTTATCCTGACCAGCACCCAATGCACATTGATGATATTTTATATGTAGCTCTCCTGTAATGCTGGAAATTCGGCTATAGATTTCTTTGTAAGCACGCATTCCGATGATGAAAATATACAATCAAATAATCTGAGACTGATTCAGCTATATGTATACTAAGTTCCACAAATTAGGGATGTCATTGAGACTGAATAAGTTAATTAGGACAATATTGGTTCTTTGATTACATTGTATACATGTATGTAAAGATAAATAACAACTATAACATTGACTCAATGTGTGGCTATTATTGAAATGTCCAGACATTTGATTTCTGATAAAATGTTCAGATTAGACAGGTCACTTTTTCAAATCTGGTTGTTCACTGTTCACATTAGAAGGTGTTCAGATTTCAAGGTTTGTATAACATGGGAGTCAATGGGAGGAAAAAATGGGACTAAAAAAAGTGTTCAAATTGGAAGGTGTTCGAATTAGCCAGGTGTTCAGATACACAGGTTCTATTGTTAGTACCTCAGTGTAAATACTCGCATCTGATTGGTCAATAAGCGGTCAACATTTTTGCCTGTACCTCACCTGTGCATCATGGGATATCATATTATTGACCGCGTATGTTACTGTACTACACTTGTGAATTATGGGAATGTGACGTCATAATGTTTACAGAAAAAACATGGTAGACGGACATTTTGTAAACGTTGATGCACTGACCTGAAGAAAGTAAAGCCAGTTGTTGATGAAAGTGATATTTTGACTTTACTAGTCGACAAGTATAGCAAAAATACAAATAGAAACGTAAAATTAACATTTCTTTACTAGTTAGTTTGCAGTGATGTGCCGAAAACAAGAGAGTTTAACTAATATCGCTGGCGTGGTTCGGAGAAAAGATTGTGAAATGAAGCCATATGATTGATAATTGTCGTATATATGTGTATTATTAGTTTCTTCTGACTAACAAAACAATTGTAGACCTCTCCATTCGGTCAACCGTAAAAATCATATACCTCGACTGTAAACCTTGAAACTACTGTTGACCTCGACCTTCGGTCTCTGTCAACAGTAGTTTCTCGGTTTACAGTCTCGGTATACAATTTTGCCGGTTGACCTCTTGAGAGGTCAACAATTGTATACTGTATTTTGTTTATGGATATTGTTGTCATGTATTTTGTCTTATTGGTATGACATCATATAAAAATGATATTAGACATGATAGAGAGGTGATATGGCGGACAACAATATATACAATATCACATTGCTGTATATGTATAGATATGTCATGTAATTTTTATTTATTTGCAATAAAACCTCAAAAAATATATACTAAGTACAGTCGATACATTTTGGGGTTTTAAGCTATTGTTCTAGTATCAATAATATGAGAATAAGATAATGAAAGCATGTGATCTCTAACCATGGTATACCCATAGTTTCAATTAGTTTAGAATTTTAAAAAATCATAATGTTTCCATTGAATTCCGATCGAATGTAGAAAGAATCCTGGAAAATTCAAGGAATCGAACATAAAGGCAAGACGTTTTGCAAGTAGATTAAATGAATAAATATATAAACACGTCTGAAACATTGATACCTGCTGCACCCCAGTCACTAGTATAGTATGTTCACTTTATGTATGTACTGTTTTCATGTACAATACTATATTGATCATGTTTAGTGTACAGTCGTGCAAAGTTTTATGCAAACATACCGGAAAAGGTTCACATGTTGAAGGAGCAACTCGAATTTCTGCATAGAATCTTCTCCAATTATTGTAATATTAAACTGTTAGTATAATTTATTTATTTGCCAAACACTACTAAACAGTGACACAATAGACACGTTTCAGTTCTGCAAAATATGACAGATTAAAGTATAAATTGCATAACGCACAAAAAGATACATACAAAAAGTACATACAAAATTGTTTTAGATTAAGAATAGAAAGTCAAAGAACAAAAACTACAAGTATAAACATGACACTTTGAATACTATAAGGTTAGCTAATTAAGCTGAAATACATATACAATTCAAAAATTCAATCGAGCAATATATACGGTACATCCTATTAACCAATATAGCTCTAGTAGCATTCGTGTTTCAACAAAAAATCTTTACTGACGAAATTTATAAATTTGAATCAACTTAAGAGTCAAATTGATTGATGAGCTATCGCTAGTCTCATTACATGGTACTGATTTCCTGATCTATGGGCCGATATGTGGTGAAAATTAACTGTTAAAAAGGATTAGTAATCGTTAACGCTGTTGACAAGAGTAACAATTTATTTCACTGACACTTGGTTGATATTGGCCACATTTAGAATTGCGATAATTATGTTTTTATTTATTTTTTCGGTTAATTGTTTTTTATTTGCAAAATATACTCTATATGATTATTTATTGCAAAATAAACTATATATAATTATATACATGATCGATACATATGTTTTTAAATATGTAGATTTGAATCTACGAGTCATGAGTACAACGAGAACAAACCGCGAGGTTGCAGAAACTAACTTATAAAAGTTTCCCAACTGAAATTGCGTTTTTAGTTTATAACTTGACTATTTGATAAATATTGGCACGTCAGCAACAATATTTTTAGTTGGTGTTTGTTATTCATCAAACATTTTAAAAACACTAGAAGTTTTTTTTATAACGAATTGGGTCAAAATAAACGATTGTAGGTAGCCGGAGTTTGCTGTTTCATTATTGGCCTGTCACTGTGATAGATCAGTATCCACTCGCCCGTCACGGAAGACTAATTTCCAATTTCAAATGCTGTATAAAATTCTAACATTAATGTAAGCGGAATTGGAAAAGGTTTCAATTGAGCGGTAATTTCCCCCATGAGGACCCGATCCGCAACATTGTTTAAGATGTTAGCGTACATTTCTGACAAATTTATTACGATGATGGTCTCAGAAGGGTTGGATTATATCTTTTTATGCATAGGTTTTCATACAGTAATAACTATCTGTGGCTTTAAACGATGCATTAAAAGATAGATGCCATAATTATATTGATGAAAGATGTCCCGGGCATGCCCGGTCTCAAACGTTATCACTGTGGAATCGCTAAGTAAGAACATTCTGTTATCCAAAGTAGTCTAAAGCTTAAGAAGTGTTTTTTGGGCGACTTCGTGTCCTAAAATTATATGCATTTGCCAAGCTTTTTAAATACTGATATTAGAGCCCTTGTCAGGCATTTTCAGTTTTTTAATTATCAAATATTTCCTCATAAATAAAATTGTAATAGATGTTTGAATACTCGACATGTTTTCAAAACTTGCCGAAAAACACATTTCAAAATGTTAAGTTCCTATTGACGCAACTTCAATATATAGTACTAGTTAGTTAAAATGGGTTAAAAACGTCAATTCGATCAACCTATGGTTATTATTAGATATGTTAAATACAAGTGAATATGTATGATACAGGAAACACTTTTATTTATAAGGAAACTTTTTTTCATTTAAGCTGTGTCTAAATATGTCATTTTATTGTTGGTAAATTTTCTGAGTCTTTCCAACTTTGTAAACGTTGAAGAAAATGTTCTTAAACATCTGACGGACTCCCTTTTTCAATTTTAATCAGACAATATCTAAAACAACATACCGTATATACCGGTATAAAGTAAATGTGGGGCACACATATAGGTAATTTAATAGGAGAAATGCAATATGAATTTTATCCGAAGGAAAATATGATATCTGCCAAGGAAGGTATCATAGTACTATTGACCGAGGGCGATATCACGTTGGACATTCATTCAAGCATACAATGCAAGTGGGACATTCATGCAAGCATACAATGCAAATGGGACATTCATACAAGCATACAATGCAAGTCGGATATGCATGCAAGCACAAAATGCAAGTTGGACATTCATGCAAGCATACAATGCAACATTTATGCAAGTATACGATGCAACTGGGACATGTATGCAAGCATACAATGCAAATGGGACATTCATGCAAGCATACAATGCAAATGGAACATTCATACAAGCATACAATGCAAGTCGGATATGCATGCAAGCACAAAATGCAAGTTGGACATTCATGCAAGCATACAATGCAACATTAATGCAAGTATACAATGCAACTGGGAC